AGGTGAATCTTCATCAATGTCAAAAAAGAAAGAAAGAAGTATAAAAACAAAAAAATATAAAAAAATAAAATAAAGAGACTATGATTTTATGGACTATGATTCTATTTTATTGTCAACTTATTTTTTTTTTAGTCAGGGTCTCACTGTGTTGCCCAGGCTGGAGTACAGTGGCATCATCATAGCTCACTACAACATCAAACTTCTGGGCTCAAGCAATACCTCTGCCTCGGCCTCCCAAGTGGCTGGGACTATAGGTGTGCACCATCACACCCAGCTAAGTTTTAAAATTTTTTGTAGAAGTCAAGGACAAAGCTAATAGCCAGACATGCCGTGATCTCTGCCCTTGTCTAGCTTTCACATACGCTATCTGTTGCTTTATTTCTTGTTGTTTGTTCCACTTGTAAAATGTCTTTCATTTTCTGTCTAGGTTAAAGCTAAACTAAATCTATGGCTTTAAATAAATCAAGATCCTAAACTCTCTAGCTTAAAGGTAAATGAAGTACACTAGTTTACCTACTGAACCTTTGCCTATTATATCCCTAGAACCTTCTAGAACACTCTACCTTTTACCCTCTGCTTGGCAGATACAGCCACCACAACCCCTCCTATGATGCTGTTTGAATAAATTTGTAAATCATTTTTTTAAAAAAGGAGGGTGGGTTGTAGAGATGCTATCTCATTATGTTGCTTAGGCTGGTCTCAAACTCCTGGCCTCTAGGGATACACTCCTGCCTTGGCTTCTCATACTGTTGGGATTATAGGTGTGAGCCACTGCTCCTGGCCTAACATTTCTTAAGAGTTAAAGTTTAGGCCAGGCACAGTGGCTCACACCTGTAATCCTAGCACTCTGGAGAGGCTTAGGCAGGAGGATTGCTTGAGCTGGGACCACAGGCATACACCACCATGCCTGGCTAATTTTTTCTATACATATTAGTTGGCCAATTAATTTCTTTCTATTTATAGTAGAGACGGGGTCTCGCTCTTGCTCAGGCTGGTTTCGAACTCCTAACCTCGAGCAATCCGCCTACCTCGGCCTCCCAGAGAGCTAGGATTACAGGTGTGAGCCACTGTGCCCGGCTTATTTACCTTTTAATTGTGAGATATTTTACACATATAAGAATATTTTGATTATAGTGCATATACATTGTAAAAGAAGCACTATAAGTGCATTGAGGTACTACCCCACACAGTTTAAGGAATAGAACTTCACCAATACCTCCTACTCATTTTTATTTTTTAATTCTTTTTATTTTTGGCATCCAGATAGGACTCAAAATTCCTACTCATTTTTAAAGATTCAGTTCAATTAGTCACTTTTGAGATACACTAAGGATTAACTATGATTGTTTGGTGGTGAGAAAAGAGTGTTTTTAATATCTTTTCCAGTATTTTTTCTCACTTTTCTGATAATAAACTGTAACACTTGTGTAATAAAAATATTAACTTTATTTTTGAGGAAATAAAGCTCATTTCCTTCCCAGATCACCACCTTGGTGGAATGAATCTTTTTATCTTTCTTTGTTCTGAGGCCGTTACCTCTATTACACTTGGCTCTGTGATTATTTGCTTTCTAGTCTGTCTACCCACCGGACTGCTCACTCTTCCAGGATGGGTTCATGCCTGCTTCATCTCCATGTCCCCTGTGCCCTAGCACAGCTCTGATGCAAAAGCCATCCATAAAGCTGAATGGGGGAAGGAAGAAGAGAAGGAATGACTAACACCCAGGCCCTGCCACTTTGACAGTGCTTTCTCAGATGTGATGGAAAGCTCATTTGCAGAACAATTTCTCCTCTCTACCAGGGGAGCAGCTCTGCTAGATAAACTGATTGTGGTGAGAGACTAGGCCAGATGCAGACTAAACGGGGGAATTCATTTCCCCTGGATATTAAATGTTATCTGGGAGGCGTGTGCGCCAGGGCAATCAGCAGCGTGGTAGGTGGTGTGGGATGGAGCTCTGTATCTTATGCTGCATCTGCAGACCAGTTTTGCAAAGGAATAAAACCGTGGCAGCCTGAGATATGTCCTTCCTTCCCCTCCCTCTCTTCCCACCCGCTCCAGAGCCCAGCATGAGAGAGGGAGCACAGCAGATCTCAAACTTCTGTCCTGCCCTCTGTCCAGAACATCTGCCTCAACGCCTGGCTCTTCCAAGAGTGACAAGTCAAATGCTTGAGATTGTAGCCTTACCCCTTGTGTATAATGTCTAAGGTTCTTGATGCTTTAAAAAGTAGTTTTTGGCCAGACATGGTGGCACATGCCTGTAGTCCCAGCTACTTGGGAGGCTGAGGTAGGAGAATTATTCGATGATGCCACCGAACTGTAGCTGGGCAACAGAGAAAGACCCTGTCTCAAATAAATTAATTAAAAATTAAAAGTTCTTAGTTTTAAAAACTGTTATTAAATACTTAGTGGCTATAAAAGAATATTAATAATGCATGTATACAATTAAGAATACATTTGAGCTGGGCGAGGTGCCTCACGCCTGTAATCCTAGCACTCTGGGAGGCTGAGGCGGGCGGATTGCCTGAGGTCAGGAGTTCGAAACCAGCCTGAGCAAGAGCGAGACCCCATTTCTACTAAAACTAGAAAGAAATTAATTAGCCAACTAATAATATATAGAAAAAATTAGCCGGATATGGTGGCACATGCCTGTAGTCTCAGCTACTTGGGAAGCTGAGGCAGAAGGATCGCTTGAGCCCAGGAGTTTGAGGTTGCTGTGAGTTAGGCTGATGCCACAGCACTCTAGCCTGGGCAACAGAGTGAGACTCTGTCTATGAAAAAAAAAGAATACATTTATAAGACTTTACACTTTTACACTCACCTCCTAGTGTAAGAAAGAGAACATCACATCTTCTGCATGTTCCTCCATATTGCATCCCTTTCCAGAGGTAACTATTAATAGTAACTGCTCCCCAAATATTATATTTATCATTCTCTTGCTTTTCTTTATAATCTGACCAAGTTTTTATCCCTAAACAAGATATTGTTTAGTTTTGTATGTTTGTAAGCTCTAATTAGAATTATTCTATATTTTTTCTAAGCTTTGCTTTTTCACTCAGCATTTTCATTGTTATACAATTTCTATTGTATGGCTCTACCAGAAACCTTTTTTTTCTTGTTTGAGACAGAACCTTGCTCTGTTGCCCAGGCTAGAGTGCCATGGCATCAGCCTAGCTCACAGCAACCTCAAACTCCTGGGATCAAGCGATCCTCCTGCCTCAGCTTCCCGAGTAAGTGGGACTACAGGTGCATGCCACCACACTCAGCTAATTTTTTCTATTTTTAGTTACTCAGCTATTTTTTTTTTCTATTTTTTAGTAGAGACAGGGTTTCACTCTTGCTCAAGCTGGTCTCGAACTCCTGACCTCAAGCGATCCTGCTGTATCAGCCCACCAGAAACTTTTAATCTAGTCTACTTTTGATCAATATAAGGGCTGTTTCCAGTTTTTTGCTAATTACAGTGCTGATATGAACATGCTTGTACATGTATCCTGATGCAGGTGAGTTTTCTTAAGGTTTATTTAAGAGAGATCTGGCTGTATAGGGTATGCACATTTGATTGTATCAATCACACCAATTTGCAAGCCCAACAGTAGTGGGATAGTTAGACATATTCACCAACACTTGATAGTTACAGACTTTTTAAGTTTTATTTTTTGTTAATCCATAGGGCAACATCTTATTGTGGTTTAAAATGTAGTTTAATTTGCATTTCTGGATTTCTAATGATATTGAGCATGTTATGTTGGTGTCATTTCCATTTCCTCTTTTGTGAAGTGCCTATTCAAGTCAGTTGCCCATGTTTTTCTATTGGTTTACCTTTTTCTCAGTGATTTTTGGAGTTCTTTACAGGTCTTGGGCATTGTTCGTTTTAACAAATCCTTTGTTAAGCATGAATGTTTTATCTTTCTGGCTAAACTGTTAGTCCAGGGGGTAGAGGGTAGGGGTGGGGACCACAGAATAATAAATTAACTCAGTTAAGATCCTTTAGGATTACAACTTCCTACTTCCCTTTTAGCTCTCTCCATGTCTGTCAAAGTGCTGGAGGCACCAAGCATGCCCTATAAATGCCCCTGAAGGAAGCGAAGATTTTTCCAGAGCTGGGGAGGAAAGGTTATATAGGCCGTTTTTGTTTCGCTTTTTTTCTTTAGAGAACCAATCACAACAAGGCAAATAAAAAATGAACTGTCAGATTGTGGTACATCAGATGAGGGCATGGACGCATAGTTGGGAGCTCACTGGTGGCTCGTGAGCGGGAAGTTGTTTTATTTGCCACAGGTGTGGCCTTGTGACCACCTGCGCGTGCGTGCGCCCTGTCTCTCCAGCTGCACGCGAAGTTCCTCAGATGCAGCACCAGGTTCCATCCTTTTAGTCACTCCAGGCCTGGCACCCAGCCAAGCGCGCAAATCCTTTACAGACTTACCTGTAAGGCCACAGAAATGCAGTGACCCGGCCCTGTACTAGGCGTTAGAGTCTGGGGGCGGGAATGCGAAGGGTGCCCGGACTGGTATTTAGCTGTAGCACCCAGGACCGGCCACAAGCCCTGCCCTCCTGAGCACCTAAGGAATGTCTTGAGAACGTGTCTTGGCGAAGGGAACTGGGGACCCGCTAAAGCTGTAGAGGCGGCCCTGGAAGGGGTGCGCTGGAGCCTGGGGAGGCCTCAGCAAAGTCGCCGTTTGCTCTCCGCTCTGCATCACAGGGACCGGGCGGGACCCGCAGGACTTTGGAACTTGACCGGGAGATATTGCAGGAAGAGGGCGCGGAGTCAACACGCGGGCTTGCGCCACGGCCGCTGCAGCCCGGGCGAGTCCGCCGGGCCACCCTCACCTCCCTGCCGCGGGAGCGCTCCTTCTCCCCGCCCCCTCCTCCCGCGGCTGGACCACCGGGCGGAAGCCGCGGGCCGGCCAGGAGTCCAAGTCCACTGCCAGAAGGGCAGGGGCGGGCCCCAGCGCGGAGTGCCGGGCGCGTCACAGCCTCGGCCCCTGATTGGCCGGCCGCGGCGGTCACCAGCCCGGAGCCGCGGGGTTGGCGCCGCCCGCGGCCAGAGCCGGACTAACGGGACTCCGGGCCGCGGGTCGCAGTCCCGACGCGAGAGGGGCTGGCGTTGGCGCCTGGCCCAGAGCCGCGGGGTGGGAGCCGGCCGGGACGCGCGCACCATGCCCTACCTGCTCATCAGCACCCAGATCCGCATGGTGAGTACCCGCCGCCCGGCGACTCGAGCCGGTCAGGGCCCGCGGGGGTGCGACTGTGCCTTCGCGCCTCGTTCCTGGGCAGCACCGAGAAGGAGCTGGGGAAGCCGGCGCCGCGCGACCCCCGGGCTCGGGGAACTCGGGCCAGCCCGCAGCTCCATGGCCGCGGAGGGGGCAGGTGCGTGCGTCCTAGCCCCGGGGCTGCCTTGCGGCGCTTCCGACTCCAGTCCTACCTGTCCGCGGGACGGACACGGGGAGCTGTCGCCTCACACGGGCTGCACCAGAGCCCCTCACGGAGCCGCTCCACAGGAAGAACGTGGAATAACCCGAGGGAAAGAAGCTTGGAAAAGAAAAGGACGTGCCAAGGCGCTAAAACCCCTGTGCCAAGTCCCTGGCCCATACACAGCCACTAGCTGCACCCTTGGCACTTCCAGGAAGGGCTATCCCTGAAGTTTTAGGAAAGGAAGAGAAGGAACGAGATATGGGGCCCTGGGGTTAGGGGTAGGGTGATACCATCCAGGAGTCAGATGTCATGCTCCTTCCTCGGGGTGCACTTTCCTCATCTGTAGAAAGGCGGCTCTGGTTGCTCTGAAGTCCCCTTTTAGCTTCAGAATAACTGGGCCCCACAGCTGGGTAGCAAGGGTGCTCCTCTCCCCCTTCCCATTCCTCAGTGCTCAGGTCATCCAGCAGAGGGTACATAGCTCCCTTGGGATAAGGAAAATAGCTGGCGGGTTCACCACCAAGCAGGAGAGGTCTCCACAGTGTCCTAGAGCAGTGGTTGGAGAACCAGCCACCTGTGCAGTTGTTAAAACGTGGATACCTGGGCCCCTTCCCAGACTTCCTGAAATTCTATGTCTGGGGCTTGGGGATCACACTTGGAAATGTGTGGTTTATTTTTAAAATATACAGCTTTATTAATGTGTAACACACATACCATAGAATTCACCAATTTAAAGCATACAATTTAATGTATTTTTTTAAAAAAGCATATTCAGAGTTGTACAACCATCGTCATTCAATTTTAGAACATTTCCAAGACCTCAGAAGAAACCCTGTACCCACTAGCAGTCACTCCTCATTTTTCCCAAGTCCCTCTGCCCTAGGTAACCGCCAATTTACCTTCTGTGGTAACACATGCTCTTCTGTATCTGGCTTCTTTCACTTATGCAGTGTTTTCAGGCTTCACCCATTTGTAGCATGCATGTATCAGTACTTCATTTCTTTTTATTGCCACATGAGATTCCACTGTATGGCTATACTACCTTTTATTTATCTGTTCATCAGTTTAACAAACATTTGGGTTGTTTCTACCTTTTGGCTACTATGAATAATGCTACTGTGAACATTTGTATACACGTTTGCATGTGGACATGTTTCATTTCTCTTGCTCTCTGTGTGATTCTGGTACACACAAACGTGGGTGGTGGTGCCTGGCATGAAGATGCCAATCGCCATGCAATGCCCAGCTCAGTTTTAGGGGACCAGGGAGGCCCCACATTGCTCCTCCTGATCACTGATGGGCTCCCCCAGGATCCTCACCACCCACTCCAGCCTTTACCTGAAGCTCTCAGGGCCAGCAGGCAGGGGAGGAAGGAGGGGGAGGTCTTTCACCTCTACCGGGCAGCCAGCCAAGGAGCTACTGTGGCTTACCTTGCAGGAGGTGGGCCCCACCATGGTGGGCGATGAACACTCAGATCCAGAGTTGATGCAGCATCTGGGGGCCTCCAAGAGAAGTGTCCTGGGAAACAACTTGTAAGTAGTGGCATCCCTCGGTGTCTTCCTCCTGCCAACCCCTAGACCTGCCTGTTCCCTTTATACAGCCTCCAAGCCCAGGACAGTACAAAGCCTCAGAGCCTGCACCCTGGGGCTCAGTCCTCTGTAGGGGTGGTCCCACCTGCAGCCTTCCTGCAGCCCCCCTGAGGCTTGCTCTGAAAGCCTTTCCACTGGAAAGCTTGCCCATCATTAGTGGAATCCCAGGACAGATCTGTCCCCTGGGTCTAGGACACCATAAGTGGGGTGTTCCTTGTCCTGCCCTCATCTCTAAGCTGGACCCATCAGCAAAGACAGGGGCAGAGAGAAAGGCTTCTGCCTTGAAGAGCTGGCTGAGTAACAAAGCTAAGCCCTAGAAACGGAACAGGAAGCCTGGCTCTGACTTCCAGCTTGGCTGCTGCCACTCGACTTGGCCACTTCCCTTGGCATCCTTCACACCATCTCCATGTCTGAACTGTGACCACTGCTTCCTTTTCTGCTCCCTTACCCCCTCCTACCTGTAGGCAGGGAGAACCCTGGCTACACAGGCTCAGGAGCCCTGAGAAGAGTTGCCGGAGTGAGTCCCAGTTCAAGTGGGGGAAAGGGAAGGCTAGCTGATCCTAGCCCTTGGGTCAAGGTTGGAGGGCAGAAGCCAACTCCCTCCCTTTGCCATGAGGCATTTGCTTGAGCCCTTTATCTGTGTGGTGGCCCTTCAGCATCAGTGAAACCTGAAAAAAGGGAAATTAAGCATTCTCCATGGCAGGGTATGGCACACAGAGTCAGGAGCTATTAGAGGCCACCCTTATTGCTCCAGGACTGCAGGACTGCCAGGGCAGCAAGAGGCCCAGAGGCCCCAGTGAGAGCAAGCGCCGGGCGCACAGGCCACTCCAGTGAACAGCGGAGTGCTCGGGGCAGGTGGCTGCTGTCAGAGCACTGCAGAGTCTCTATCTGCATGACGCTGGGAAAGCTCCTTAATCCCTCTCATTTTTCTCTTGTATAAATGGGAACAAATGATAACTCCCCTAGGTTGTTGAGAGGAATAAATAATTCATGTGAAGTGCTTAGTAGGGAGGGGGCAGGGATTGTGCACTTAGCTTGGCACCAGCAAATGTCAGTCACCATGATGAGAGCTCCTGCCCAGGCCTAGCCTTCAGCGGACACTAGCGTTGTAGGGGAAGCTTGCTCTGTGTGCCTCTCCTCACACCGCCCACCCTGGTCTCTTTGCAGTTGTGAGTACTACGTCAATGACCCTCCTCGCATAGTCCTGGACAAGCTGGAACGCAGGGGCTTCCGTGTGTTAAGCATGACAGGGGTGGGCCAGACGCTGGTGTGGTGCTTGCACAAGGAGTGACCTTCTCACAATGATTTGTGGACGGGGCACCCCTTCTCTGGAGGGGCTGCTGTGGGCCCCTCCTCCAACCCCCTGCCTCACTGGTTGCCTTGTCCCAGGATGTCCCTGCCCCCAGCCCATCCCCAGTGGGTGGTGAATGGCCTACTCTGCAATCCTGCTTTGGTCATTGGGGGAGGGCAGGGCCCCTTGCCCCAGTGCTCCCAGCTGCCCTCCAGCTTCAGGCCTGACCCGAGGGCCTTGGCATAGGCCATGTTCTGTGGGCAGGCTGCCCCTGCCACGCTGGCACTCCAGTGGAGGATGGTGCCAGGACTTGGCAGGTGGGTCCTACGTAGCTAGTCCAAGCCAATAAAGGGCTGTGATGAGTGGTTGCTCCTCTGCTCTGCTTGTGCCCAGACTCTCACCACATGAGGCCTTTCCCTGGAGGTCTGCCCAACTCCCAGGGAGGGAGCCCAGGCCTGGGAGGAGCCCTCTGAGGCAGAGCGCAGCACCCTATACCTATGTATGGAGTAGAGGTAGACTATTAAAAAAAGTTTTTATTGGTGATGTTTAAGGAAAGGGCGGGGGCGGGGGGTGGGCTGGAGCCGCAGGCTATGTGGGCTGCCCCTCCTGGTCTTCCTGCTGCATCCGGGCGGTCAGCTGTTGCCGCTCAGCGGCCTGGCGCATGCGCATCATGACCAGGCTCTCGTAGTCCCTCTCTGACAGCACTGAGCCCTGGGGACAGAGAGGGGATGGGGAAGGGTTAAGGATACCAGGGCAGAGCCCAGTGGACTCCATACTCAGAGGACAGGGCCTAAGCACAATGCTGTCTAAGAGTTGAAGAGGGAAGAGGGCAGAGGAAGGGAATGATTCTAACATCCTTCTGGAATCCCACTCATCCATGTTCTCCCAGGGAAGGCGGGCCACTGGCCTCCAGGCCAGTTTCTCCTCAGCTGGCCTCCCTGCAGTCCCTCTCAGCCAGTTATGTCAACCAGTTTTTTACTGGTTTTACTCCCTTTACCCAGGCCCTTCACGTCTCCAGTCAGCTCTGGTTCACCTGTCCCACACCAATCACCAAATCACTTCCTGTGGTCTAGCCAGGCACTGATCTCCCTTCATTTCCTCTCAGCTGTTTAGCTGGCACTCCATCCCTCCTGCCGTGGCTTCTGCCTCTCACAGGTTTCCAAGGAAGGGAAGCTGTCTGAGGTGTAGGGATGTGCTGGGCAGCTGCCCTGGTCCCTCGATCCCTGTGGCCAGGCTCCCACTGAGGATGCAGAGGGACCTGCCCCCAACACAGCCTTGGACAGCCCAGCCCCACCCCAGCAGGACAGGAGCGGCCGTGCAGCCAGCTTCCCAACTAAACACGCAGCAGAGCTCCTGGCGGGCAGGGCCTGAGGCTCTCTTTTATGATCTTGCCAGCACAGTGCGGGGGATTAAGAAGTACTACATTTTAATAATCAAAAGAATAACAAACAACCACCTCAATAGGCTAAGGCTGTGGGGTGGAGCTCCACAGCAGAGCCCTGAGCTGCCACCCCCACAACCTGATAAGGTGTACGGTAGGAATTAAATCGCTTCCTCCCTTAGTGTGGCTGACACTGTGTGATGATCATGTGGTTCCCACAGCTGCTTAGAGTAGTGTGAAGCCCTCCTGACTTGGCACAGAAGTGAGCCAGGCCAGGAGTTGCAAGATGCGGTGGCCTGTCCACGGCAGAACTGTTGAGCCCTGTCCTGTGGCACACCACACCAGTGCTCTCATCAAACAAGCAAGGAGGAAAACGTGGTCAGTGACCCGGGGAATAAGAAAGGAGTGGCCAAGGTTGAGCTGCCGGGCCCTGGCCAACTGGTTTGGAGTAAGGGGTGTACAGAAACAGGAAGTGCTACTCAGCCTGGATTGCCCCTGCTCCTCCCGACAGCCCCACCCTTCACCTGAGAGCTGGCCTCCCAGCCAGGCCCACCTGCTACGCTTGGCCCAGAGCAGGACTGGCAATTCATGGCAGCCCCAGTGGCCCACCCCTTTCACAGAAGAGGGTCCCCAAGGGAAGACCCTGGCCCTCCACTGCTCTCTTCCTGCCAGGAAGCCATCTGGTTAAAACAGGGAGGACAAGGAAACTCAGTAGCCAGATTGGATGGCAGGCCAAGGGGAGGGCAATTCTCCCCTCCCAAAGTTCATGCTCCTCTGCCAAGAAAACCTGGAGTCACCCTTGGCATGTCCCCAGCCCTACCCTGGGAGGAGCTGAGCCCTTTACAGGCATGGGGCTGCTCCCCCCATTCCTACAGTCTCTGCTAATGAGGGCCTGTCACCAGGCCCCAGGCCTGAGTCACCGCACCAGTGGCAGGTCTCTTCCTTCCACAGTTGTTCCACACGCCTGCCTTTCAATTAACTCCCACCCTCCCTGAGCTCCTCCCACCCAGACACACTGTGGGCTGGGGAGCCTGCCTGCCTGCTGGGCCCAGGGCAGCGGGGCTGTGATGAGAAAGGAAGCAGTGTGGTGACACATAAAGCAGGGCTGCCCCCAGACAAGTCCCCAGAGGAATCTTAAGCTCCCCATTGCCCTGGGGTGTTGGTCACAGCTGCCCCAATCCCTGCATGCGGATGCTGCAATTACCCAAGAGCATGAAACCCAGCTTCCCACCTGACTGAGTCAGCTGAAAACACAAACACGTCTTCACCGCCACAAACAGCCAAGCCACTAATCAGAGTCGGGAGCCGCCGGCAGAGAGGACACACTACCCTAGAGACGGCACAGGAGCCAGGCCCCTCTGCCTCCTGCCTATGGAAGGAGTACCCGGTGCTCCTGTCTGGCCCAAGAAGATCCGCCTCTGCCACCACCAGAGCTGCCCTCACTCCAGCTCCAGTAAGTGCTGCTTCTTCCTCTTGGGGTTTTTCCACTGCCCTCTCAAGTAACCAGGCCACTCCAGTCCCTGTGGGAAACCTGCTGCCAGAACTCCCAGCGCTCTGCTCTCCTGGATAAAAAAGCACCCTCTTCCTGGGACTTCATCTCACCATCGAAGACACGGCCAAAGCTCTGTGCTGAGCAGAAACTCCGAGGCCTCTGCTTCTGGCCCACTAGGGGTGTCTCCCTGATTCTTGGCATTCATTGCTCCAGCACGGACCAAATGTTCACCAGCTGCTCTTGAATGCCTGTCTGCCGGGCTTCTGAGGTACCAGGCCTGTCTGCTGGCTGCCCTGGGCCCCATGGAGACCTGGCGGAAAGGCTCCTTCCGCAATGCCTCCTTCTTCAAGCGGCTGAGCCTGGGGCGGCCACGGCGACTCCGGCGACAGGGCAGTGTGCTTAGCCAGGCCAGCACCGCTGGTGGTGACCATGAGGAATACAGCAACCGAGAGGTCATACGGGAGCTGCGAGGGAGGCCAGATGGCCGGCGCCTGCCACTGTGGGGGGACGAGCAGCCTCGGGCCACCCTCCTGGCCCCACCCAAGCCCCCACGCCTCTACCGAGAGAGCTCCAGTTGCCCCAACATCCTGGAGCCCCCACCCGCCTACTCTGCTGCCTACTCAGCCACCCTGCCGTCAGCACTCTCTCTGGGGGACGCCCTACACCAATACTCAGAGGACGACCTTTTGGACACTCCCTCCTTCCAGAGGACACCTGCTCCGGACCTTAATGATCCCTTCTTCTCCTTCAAAGTGGACCTGGGGATTTCACTTCTTGAGGAAGTCCTACAGATGCTGAGGGAACAATTTCCCAGCGAGCCCAGCTTCTGAATGGGGTGAGGGGAGGCAGAGCTGGAGTGACTGGAAGAGCTGGAGCCTGGGGACCCAGGGAAGGAGGGGATGATCATGGATGAAGGAATGGGCAGCAATGGGAATCCAGGGCTCTGGCTGCCCTCTGGGTCCTGAACAGGTCTCTAAGTCACCCCAGAGTGGAGGGACAGAGGCAAGCTGGAAATGTTGGGAGGGAACCTCATGGCAGGAGCCCTGAAGGAAGCTGGCTGGGCCTGGATTGGGAGGCCACGCCCTGCAACCACAGGAACCAGGCAGAGGCCAGCAGAGCCAGAGAGCAGCATGGGGGTGAGTAAGAGAGTGGGAGGACACGGCAGAACAGACGGGTGCCCTGCACCACCCACCTTGGAAGCTACTGTCAACAGAGAGAGGTCACAGGACAAGCCTGGGCAAAAGTGGTCCAACCCAGGCCAAAAAGGAAAGCAGGCACACCTGAGAGGAGAATAGAGACAGGCTCTACCCTGTTCACCCTGGTGGCCTCTCGCTGTATGAGGCTATTTAAATTGAGACTGAAATTAAATAAAACATTAAGTTACTCAGTTTCAAATGTTCAGGAGCCCCACATGATTAAGGCTGCCACAATGGATAGTGCAGAATGGACATTCCCACCACAAGACAGAGTCCTACTGGACAGCGCTGGCTAGAGCACAGCCCGGAGCCCTGGCAGACAAGGGGGAAACATACGGGGGCTGCAAGGGAAGGGAGGGGCTGGCGGAGCAGGGAGAGGTAGGTAGAGATATAGAGCATAGCTCAGGAAAAAAGCCACACAAACATTGGCAGAAGGGGGTGGCATGAGAGACTCAACCTCCAACACAGCTACCAGAGCAATCCCTGCTCCCTGAGGCAAGCAGCGCTCGGGAATGCCAGCTGAAGGCACAGGCACAGCTTGCAAAGAGGTGTTCTGGGAATTCCCAAAATTATTAGTGATGGGAGCGCTTGGGAAATGCAACAGAACAGTGGCAGATTTCCTTCCTAGAAGAGAGGAGGACTGGAAAGGAGATGGACGCTAAGTGGTAGACAGGCACAACTGGTCTCCAGAACCTTGTACCAGGCCTGGGGAGCTCTGCTTTGCCCAAACCCTCTGACAATGGGCTTTTCAACCAAGCCAGGCCCGCTGGGTCAAGGCCATAGGCTGTTTGCTACTGCCCCATCCTGTAGCCTGGCCAGAAGACTTGAAGCAAGAGCCCAGCAGCACTCAGCCGGGTCACGTGGTGCTGGGCCACATGGCCCCTGAGCCTCTCCAAGAGTGGCAAGGGGGAGAGGGAGGCTTCTAGACACACCGCTTCCACAACCCAAATCAGTGGCCTTCCTCTTTGCTTCTCTTGTTAGATGTGCCAAGCTGAAAGGCTCCTCTGTGGATATGGGAAAGAATGAATAAAATTCTTTCTAACAACCTGTGGAGTGTCATCTGTGAAATGCTGGGACTTAAAGCAGGGGGAAGAGCTGAGGTCTCTAAAGCGTGGTCCCGAGTTTGGTTCCAATCAGTCTGTGTTCCCCCCTGCCCAGGGTCCAGTAGGAGGAAGGTGGAGGGGCAGGGAGAACAGGATGACATGGCTGAGGGCAGTGAGAACAGCCTCCTGCCTGCCAGCCTACCGAGGAACTACAGACAGGCCCCAGGCCACTGCAGAGAAGGGAAGAGCCAGGTTGCTAGCTCTTTCCCTCAAAGCAATCTGTCGCACAAAGGTGGGTGCAGGTGTGGCCAGGAGCCCTACAGCAACAGCCTCTGCATCCAGGCCAGAAAATACAATGACTGTGGTGGGAAGGTGCGGGTGCTGAACATAGGCTTCATGGAGCCATGAGGACAAACAGCTGGCATGGGGCTGGCATCATCTGAGAGGTCTAGACTTCACCACAGTGTCTGGGCAGGCAATCCAGTGTTAGCAGGGTAGCCAGTGTTATTTGTTTTTTTTTTTTTTTTTTTTTTTTTTATTCGACATGGAACAATTATCTGTAGCCAGTGTTATTTCTAAAGAGGAGACACTGCCTCTTGACAGTCGGCCCCTGTGTGGCGCAGCCAGTAACACACCTAGAAAACTGAAGAGCTGGGGAGGCAAGCTGCCCTGGTCAACTGCCCCTTCCTGCAGCACTAGGTCAGCTAAGCTCCATATGCCTCACACCACACGCAACCAAGCAACCTGCAGGCCAGGAGGATCCCCTTGGGTAAAGATCAGAGTCCCAACAGGAGACCAGACGTGGAAGGCAGGCAAGGTCTAAGAATAGTGTGTAGGGGAGGGTCCCTCTGGCCCTCAGAGAGTAAAAGGGGTCACGGTGGAACCATAGCCCCTCCTGCTCAGGGTGGTGGACTAGCTAATCTCACTCTATGCTCAAAGACCTAAATTTGGGAGGAAAGGGCCCCTAGAGGAGCCCAAACAGGAAGAGCTTCCCTGAGTGCTGGGCAGACCCAACTGGGTAAGGCCTGGCTCCTTACCTTTGACAGGCCTGGGTAGCTGGGGCCCGCCATGCCCTGGGGCTGTCCCTCCAACCAGGAAATCTTCAGAGGGTTACTGGCCAGGCCAACTTCATTCTGGAAAGCCAGCTCCTGCCAAATATAGCATCTAGTCCTGGGCCTGTCCATCAGACCAGCTATAAAGAGGCTCTCTCTACCCCAAAGAAAGGACAGAACCAGCATTCTAGTGCTCTCAGCTGAGCTGGGCAACCTCAGCAACCTTCAAACGATGGGGCCTTAAAGCTTTGATGTCAAACTTCCCTTCTTGTGGAAGAACGATGGGGATGCACCTTCTGACTTGGGGGAGTGAGAAGAAGCATGAAGGGTAGGAAGGCACTACCTCAAGGGGTGCAGGGTGGAGGGTGTGAAGCCAGCCATCAGGGAATGAAGAGTCAGTGTGCACTCCCCTCTATTCCCAGGGCATTCTCCCTTCATGTGCAGCACTTCTGTCCCCAGGAAGTCAGGAGCCTCTCAGGGAGCCTTGGCTCCGAGCTGGCCCAGCATCTCTAGGGAGTATGGATCACCTAACTCAGAGAGCCCAGAGAATTGGGTCCCTGCCCTAGAATGACAGGGCCACCAGTGGCCCCCAAACCTCACACAGCACTCACCGCAGCCTTGACAGTCGCAAACTCCACCACAGCCATGCCTGCCTTCTTACTGGAAAGCACCAGGTTGAGAACCTCACCATACTGTGGGGACAAGGGAGTCCCAGTAAGCATGGCTTGGCCTTTAGGATGGCCCAACTCATGCCAGAGACAAGCCTGGGTTGTCCTGAGGCCCACTGTGGCATTTTCAGCTGGGGGATAACTTCTTAGAGCTAGAATCCCAGAGAAGTGAGATCAAAGATTAGAAAGAAGTTTTTCTCTAGGAACACAGGATGGCAAAGGAGAGATAAGCAAAGGTCTGGGGACTTGGACTGGCGTAATCACATGGCTGCCTTGCTGGTTGAAGGTAGTAAAGAGGATGGGGTTTTCATGCCACACACCCACCTCCTCTCTCCCAACACCCCCAGCCAAGCCCTTTTCTTCTAAGGATGGCAGGGAACAGACCTAGTCAGCAAAGGAGAGACCAGGCTGGAGGAGGCACATGGCAACACAAGAGAAAGGAGGACCATGGCCTGGGGAGAAGTCTCTAGGCTGTTCTATGGTCTATGAGAAAGTAAAAAACAACAACAACAACAACAACAAAAAACAGGTAGAAGAGATGTTAAGCGAAGATCAAGCATAAAGAGTCCTGGGATATGGGCTGCGATGTGGACTGAGGTGACAGGAAAAAGAGGAAATCAGAGGTACAGACCTTTTGCAAAAGCTGCAGGAGGACATCTTTGGAGTAGCCACCTTTTGACTCATCCTCCATCTTGCACTTCCATTTTAGCTGAAAAGACAGTATCATTTAACACTGACCCTTAGCTGAATGGCAAATGGTACCTAACCCCACAACGAGGCTTTGAATGAGCAGATACCCTCTGACTCCCCAAGGCACCTGCAATCCAGAGAGCACCACCAAGACATGTTTTCCCCCTTGGAAACATAGGCAGGGCAGCCTGCTCACCCCAGGAATGCTTCCAGCCCTTCGAGGGCTTCTGGGGAATGCTGCCCTGCAATCATCAGGGCTAAGAGCAGCCTTTCATGGCAAGCTGTAGGAAGCAGTCTGGTCTCCAGGCAGCTGGAGGACAGAAAGGAAGCGGCAGTGGTGCTGGCTCCCCTCAGAGATCCAGTGTCCCTACCAGAACCCCTCAAGCCACAGGATGCATCTGTTCTAGCTGAGAGGAGGTGGTGATGAGTATGAGGCTCAGAGATCCTGCCCATGCTCACCTTTAGTTTGGGGGTTCCTCTGTCATCAGTATTTTCTGCTTTTCCTAGAAATATTGGGAAAAAAAGAAAGGTAGAATATAAGGGAATAAGAGATTCTCCCAAAGAAGATGCAGTTCACAGCCAGAAGGACCTAGAAAAGGTCACTTCTGACCAAGAGCAATATCTGCCCTGCCCTGTGAGGGCCTGGTGGAGAAAGCAGACACAGTGCTCCCATCCCCAGAGAAGCTGCCACCCCAGGAGGGGTCTGCCCAGCTACCTGAGGGCCACCTGTTAGCATTCTCCAAATGAAGAGCTAGGAACATCTTCTGGGGACAGGGAGCAGAGACACAAACTACACAGTTCTACTGAAACAAAGTATCTCAGAGCTTTTCTCCCCGGGATCTGCTTCCAAACAGAGCCACCTCTGCTTGGGACTAATCCAAATGCAGCCAGGAGATCTCAGAGTAAAAAGCAAATAGGTCCCAGAGATCTGGTAGGAAGAAGGGACAGGTGGCATATATAAGAGTGAGGTACCATGGGGTACTGCCAGTGCTCCAACAGGTGGAAGCCTCCACAGCAACTCCACCAAGCAGCCAGTGTGGCCACTTTGGCAATCTGGAGCTACCTTGGAGGGGGAGACAGGTGGGTGTGACAGACTCTCACCTCTCAACCTCTGGTCATGTTCCTGGCGAATCTGCTCCCGGATCAGCCTCTGCTGTTCCTGTAGTTGCCGGGAACCTTCTTCTCGTAGGCGTTCGATCTGCAGAGCGGGGGGGTGGAGGGGTGACAATTCTGTGCAGATCCAATTCCAGGTTGGCTCACCTTGTAAAGGTCCCTGGGAGGTTCCACCTGCAAGCTAGGGCTCAGCAACCTGTGGGTGGGACAAATTACCCAGATCCCACAGAAGAAGGTGGAAAGAGCATGCCCTCTCCAGCCAGACGGCCACCCAAGTCCATTCTCCTCCTCCTCCCCCTTCTCCTGCAGATGGCTCTCAGGCCAGCGTGCCTAGATGCTCACCTCTTGCTCCAGTGTCCTGGTGCTCCTGCTGTCCTCCTCCTCCTCACTCCCCTGGGCCTGGGCCTGCCGCTCCCGAGCCTCTAGGTCTAGGCACAAGGGTTACATGATCCAACTACTAGTCTTCGTACTTTCTACTTGGCCTCAGCCCACCTCAGCTCTGGCTCCTTCCCCAAAGTTTTATATAGGACAAAACCATACAGTAACTCCATCCTCTCCCTCCATGCCTATATGTCCCTGAGTTAATTCCCACTGAGAAAAATCATAGCACCAAAGTATGGGCTCCAGCGGTGTGTCCAAAAGTCTAGAACCAAGCTGGTTGTTTCCAATCAGTGAACAGGGTACAGATGAATGCTTATGCCAGAAGCCCAGGACAATGTGTCAGGGATGCCAGTGGAAGCAAATTGGTAGTATAGTGGTGAGCATAGCTGCCTTCCAGGGATGCCAGTGGGTGGAGCCACTGGCCTCTGTTCCTAGGGCACCTTAGCCTGACCTCGGACCTTGCTTCGGCTTTGGCTTTTTTTTTTTTTTTTTTTTGAGACAGAGTCTCACTGTGTTGCTCAGGCTAGAGTGCCATGGCATCACCCTAGCTCACAGCAACCTCAAACTCCTGGGCTCAAGTGATCCTTCTGCCTCAGCGTCCCGAGTAACTGGGACTACAGGCATGCACCACCATGCCCGGCTAATTTTTTCTATATATATATTTTTAGTTGGCCAATTAATTTCTTTCTATTTTTAGTAGAGACAGGTCTTTCTCTGCTCAGGCTGGTTTCAAACTCCTGAACTTGAGCGATCCACCCATCTGGGCCTCCCAGAGTGCTAGGATTACAAGCGTGAGCCACCATACCCAGCCCTTGCTTTGGCTTTGATTCTCTTCCTACCACTGAGTTCAAGTTCTTACTGTCTCCTTTACCTTCTCCCTCAACTCTTATTTATCAAGCCTCACTGTGGATGGGCAGCAGTAGCTCCTACAGGGGTGGGCAGACTGTGGGACGGTATTACTCCAGGTCCCAGGTCCCAGAGCCCTTCCTGCCTTCCAGGGGAAACTTGGTTGCAGCCCTACACCACGCCAGCTACTGTGACAAGCCCTCTCAGGCCTAGGAAGTTTGTGGATTGTGTACTTTACTTACCTAGAGCCTCCTTTTGTTTTTAATAGAGAAATGGATATATTGGGATGGTACATGTACACATTAAAATATATAGATATTGAATAGGCAAGAAGAAAGGGAGAAAAATTGAGTACTAAAATTGTACTAAAATTGATTTTTAGTCACAGTTGCATCATTTGGTAAATTTATTAAAAATCATTGAATTGGCCAGGCGCGCTGGCTCATGCCTATAATCCTAGCACTCTGGAAGGCCAAGGTGGGTGGATTGCTCGAGGTCAGGAGTTCAAAACCAGCCTGAGCAAGAATGAGACCCCGTCTCTACTATAAATAGAAAGAAATTAATTGGCCAACTAATATATATAGAAAAATTTAGCCGGCATGGTGGCACATGCCTGTAGTCCCAGCTACTTGAGAGGCTGAGGCAGCAGGATTGCTTGAGCCCAGGAGATTGAGGTTGCTGTGAGCTAGGCTGATGCTACGGCACTCACTCTAGCCTGGGCAACAAAGTGAGACTCTGTCTCAAAAAAAATAAAAATAAAATAAAAATAAAAATCATTGAATTGGACACTTGAGATAGGCTGATATTATGATATGCAAAGAACAACTCAATAAAGCTGTAAAAAAGAAGAGAAACCCGGACCTCTTTGAATCCTTCTAAAGGAGCTTCTCAGCTTGCTCTGGGCAGGAATGAGGCTGGGACAACACTCAGCTGGGGATGGTGAATATGACCCCTGATTTTACTAACACTATATGTTTAAATCCCAGCTCCAGCAAGTTCTAAAACTTTTGGTGCCTTAACTCCTTTGCCTTAAAAAATGGGTTTAGTAACGCCCACTTCTTTGGATAGTTGTGATAATTAAAGAAGTCAATAAAGCATTTGTCATAATGCTTAGCTAATAGTAAATACAGTCATTGTTATTATTCCTAAGAATAATAGGAACCAACCACTAAGAACAAAGTTTTGCCCAGAACCTGAGCTTAAGAAGCTTTGAGTTGTGGAAGTAAAGTTCCAGGAAGAAAAGTTAGGGGGATGAAAGAAAATGGCCAAGGGAAACCGCAGGCCATCCAGCACTATGACGTCACCTACCAAGCTTCACTTTCTTCCTTCTCTCATCAAGTTTCTGGGTCCTCTCCGCTGCCTGCTTCTTGGCTTTCCTGACCTTGTCATAAGCAGCCTGGCAAGAGAAAGGAACAGAGCAGCAGGTCCACCAGATAAAAAGGACAGAGCCCCAGCAATCTGCCTGGCCCCCGCCTCTTAGCTGCAGAGCGATCAGGGAGGCAGCCTGGTGACTGAGTCTCCAAGGCTTAAACAGCAAGGACTTGCCACAAGGCAGAGGACTGAGGTTGAAGGGTAGCAGTGGTCTCTAACCATGGGGGATAATTCAGTTAAAGGAGGATATACTTACTCTAGCTGCAGCATCAGTCAGCACCTCCAAGGCCTGAGAAAGCTGGTGGAAGAGTTCAGCTACACACATAGAGATCAAAAGGAGAGAAAGGAAAAAACAAAGTTAGCCTTGGTGATAGTGTGTGTCCTCAAAAAAAAAAAAGAAAACACTTCAAGCCAGGTGTGGTGGCTCACGCTTATGATCCCAGAACTTTGGAAGGCCAAAGTGGGAGGATCACTTGAATCCAAGTGTTCCAGACCAGCCTGGGCAACGCAGAAAGACCTTGCCTCTACAAAATATATATAGATATTAGCCAGGTGTGGTGGCATGCACCTGTAGTCCTGGTTATTCAGAAGGCTGAGGCAAAAGGATCGCCTGAGCCCAGAAGTTTGAGGCTGCAGTGAGCTATGACTGCATCACTACACTCCAGCCTGGGTAATAGCAAGGCCCTGTCTCAAAACAAACAAACAAACAAACAAACAAACAAAACAAAACAAAACAAAACAAAAAATACTTCAGGCTGGGCGTGGTGGCTCACGCCTGTAATCCTAGCACTCTGGGAGGCCGAGGCGGGAGGATTGCTCGAGGTCTGGAGTTCAAAACCAGCCTGAGCAAGAGTGAGACCACGTCTCTACTATAAATAGAAAGAAATTAATTGGCCAACTAATGTATATATATAAAATTAGCTGGGCATGGTGGCGCATGCCTGTAGTCCCAGCTACTGGGGAGGCTGAGGCAGGAGGATTGCTTGAGCCCAGGAGTTTGAGGTTGCTGTGAGCGAGGCTGACGCCACGGCACTCACTCTAGCCTGGGCAACATAGTGAGACTCTGTCTCAAAAAAAAAAAAAAAAAAAATACTTCAAAGAAGCCACAGGTTACTTGGAAACAAAGGTCTTAAGAAAAAAAAGCCACAGGGTGGGAAGAAAAGCCAACATCAACAGATGACAGACCAGCAAGGATGGGTGAGCACATAAGCAACTGACTGGACACCCCTAACATGTGAAGGAATCCCTGGGATTCACTTGCCCAGAGCCCCAGGCCATGTGTGCCTACATTCCATACACAGAGCTTAGATGGAGAAACAATGCCTGGGTGAGCAGGTCTCTTTCTCCCTATCCCTTTAGGAGGAGGATCTTACCTGCTCTGGGATTATCTGGATTTTTGTCTGGGTGGCAGGAGAGGGCCTTCTGCCTATAAGCCTTCTTCACCTGCAAGAATCAGAGAGAAGACACGGTCATTCACTCTGTCACCCTAGGGACAAACAGGAAAAACCTTGCTCAAGCAATAAGGTAAATCCCATGCCCACATAACAGAGAGGCTCCTGGGAGGCAGCAAGGGCATGGAGGCAGCTGGCACTGCCACCCAGCTGAGGAGCTGGGCCTGCTTCCTGCTAAGTGCTCAGTCTCAGATATCAAGGGGCTCCTGGAAGAGGTAGGAGCACAGTATCTTGGTTTCTTTATGGCCACCTGCAGACAGGTACTCTCTATACGTTCTTAGTGGGCATGTAAACTGGGGCAACATTTCTGGAGGAAAATTCAGATATCAGATTTTAAAATGTACTTTACTTTTGAGCCAGTCCTAGGAATTTGGACTTGTAGAAGTATGCCAAAATAAATATACAAAGATACTCATTGCAACACTGTTTGTAATAGTCCCCCACTGAAGCCAGCAAAAATCTCCATCAATAGGGAGGCCCATTAAAACAACTATTACAGGTAGAAGTCTCTAAGTGCTGACACAGAAAGATCTTCAGGGTAGAGTGAGTGAAAAAAGCAAGGCTCAAAACAGTGTGTATATAATATGATCACTTTGGGATTTAAATTAAACAAACAAATAAATGAAATACAGTTATAGACACTCGGGCATGTGCATAGTTGTTTTATTTTTATTTTTTTCACAAAGCAATGCTGAAACTTAATAGAGGTTTCCTTTGGAGAAGATGAAGGCAGGGAGGAAAGAAGCATTTACTTCTCATTTTATACCTTTCTGTAGTTCAAATTTTCAAAATTTAGGCCTTATTTTATTATTTTTTTATCACCAAAAGGATTTATCTTAGTGGGGATGTTATGGTCCATTTTAAATTTTCATCTTCATACCTTTCTGTATTAAAAAGGAAAAAACCTAATATTTTTTATATTAGTAAAAATAAACACAGCTACCAAGATTCTCTTTCATGTGTTACTTACATAGCTGTTGTAGGTGAAAACAAAGTATGAAATTCCAGAATCTGCCCCCAACCTCCCAAGGCCTTTGCCTCCTCAATTCTGCTCCATATGTATTACCTGCTGTTCAAACCTCCTGGAGGAACGGCTAAGCAGACTGGCTTTCCAAGCTTCCCAGATAGAACCAAGAGAGGCTTCTTTGCCCAAGTGTGCTAAATAAGGGTCTTCAGAGGTAAGCAGACAGCAGCCAACATCTGCCAGGGGTGGCCTGCCCAGCAGGTGCCTGACTCAACTCCTACCTCCATGAGGCCTAGGACCTCTAGGGGTGTGCTGCCACCTGCTGGGCCACAGCCAGCAGCACCCCTTCACCTGCCAGTGCAATCCAAGCCCAGTATGGCTCTCCTGACTGAGCTGGAGGCAGCAGGAACCACTCCCAGGACAGGCCTCAGGTAGTGAGACTGTGGATGTGCCTCCTTGCTCTACCCCACCTTCCTGATCACCCCCATGCACACCTGACCTGCTGCTCACCTCCCCACCCTCACCCTTCCTCTCTAGCTCTGCTTTCACTATAAAAAATAACAACACTAAAGGAAGGGGAGGTGCTAACTTTATAGACAGTCTTACATTTGCAATGTCATCTTTACTCGTTAGGTCCCTTATCATTTGTCTTTTCTCCCTTTCACTCCCTTTTGCCTCCTTTACTGTGCCCCCAGCCTCATTTCCTTTTTATTTTCAACTAAGACTCTATGAAACAGTTTTTATATTTTAGGGCCCTTCATTTGCTGTTTTCAGTAAGTAAAATAATACCATAAATGTGTAAAGAGAAATTTAAAAAGCTAATGTTCTTTCCCATTTCCCCAGCCCTCTAACATCGAGGTTCCGGGGTTGACTGTGATGGTGGGTGTCCTGCTAACCTACATCCTCCTTGATCATTCCAACAAATACAAGCACCTGCACACTGATAGGAATCTGTTGGGGTTCTTTGTTCCTGGCCTCTCAATCCTACCTCTCTGATCACATCTCCACCTTCTCTCTGAGATGGGTGAGAAGAAGAGGTGGAGGGAAGCACCCAGAGTCTTGGAGGCAGCTCATCTCCTGGGGGTCAATGGCCTTACCCTGCAACAGTGTCCTTGGGAAGAACTTCCCCAGGACCAGAACTAGCAGGGCTGCCCTACTGATTTAGGGGAATTTTGTGGAAGATTTTTTTTTTTGAGATAGAGTCTTACTCTATCACTTAGGCTGGAGTGCAGTGGCCTCGTTATAGCTCATTACAACCTCAAACTCCTGATCTCAAGCAATTCTCCTGCCTCAGCCTTCCAGAGTGCTAGGATTATAGGCATGGGCCACCATGCCTGGCCCTGATTTTTTCTTTTGTATTATGAGACTCTTCTAAAGTGGTTTCTATGTTCTTTTTTGTAAACCTGAGAGGGACAGCAGAAGAGAGAGAGGGTAGTGAGAGGGAGCAGTAAGAAAGCAAGACAAAAGGGGCATTGGTTGGGCTGGGTGTTAGTTTTAGTTTTCTTTCCTTTTTTTATAAAGAGAATGCTTTCTGAATTTTATTATGAAGGAATCATAAATATTGTTTTGTGTTTTATAATTTATTTTGGATGTTCTATATTGGAAAATTAATTTTTTAGTTAAATAGAAAAATAAAATTGTTCAAACTGAAAAATATTATGTACTAATTGATCTGCATATATTAATTTGCTTCCTTGTCAATTCTTTTTGTAGAATGTGTTCCCTTGACAAATGTTTATAACAGTCTCATCAGATTTTTTTTTTGAGACCGAGTCTTACTCTGTTGCCTGGGCTAGAGTGCCATGGCATCAGCCTAGCTTACAGCAACCTCAAACTCCTGGGCTCAAGGAATCCTACTGCCTCAGCCTCCTGAGTAGCTGGGACTACAGGCATGCGCTACCATGCCCGGCTAATTTTTTTCCATGTACTTTTAGTTGGCCAATTAATTTCTTTCTATTTTTAGTAGAGACAGGGTCTCTCTTTTGCTCAGGCTAGTTTCGAACTCCTGATGTTGAGCAATCCACCCACCTCAGCTTCCCAGAGCGCTAGGATTACAGGCGTGAGCCACCGAACCCGGCCAAGATTTTAATGCAACTAGTAAAATTATACCAAGGTTATGTTATGCCCTGTCTGGGTGAATGCTATCCTACCCCTCACCTCTCTAGCCTCCCACACTCCCAACATTTACAACCGGACATAACTGCCTGAATCAAGCTGACATATCCTGGACCTGGCTCAAGGCCTGGCTTCTGCCTCAATTTCCAAACCATCTTTTAAAGGTAGAATGGGCTGAACATTCTGTATTTTAAAGTCCTCTAGGAAAAATTACCACTCTGATGTACTGGCTAGATATTAGTAGGGAAAGAGTTGAGGTCCAGAAAGTCAGGGTAAGGCTGGTATTCATTCCCAGGGAGAGAACGCAAAGGGTAGAAAAAAGAATTCTCCATGAGCCCCTCAGTGCAACACTGAATTCACCCAACCTGCGGGTCTACTGATGGAGCATTTAGGATATACAGGGCTGATCTGGAGCCTGGGAATACAGAGAAAAATCAGGCATGTTCCCTGACACACTGAAGAGGAAGGACACTGCTTAGCAAAGAAGATGCCAGAGAAAACAATGAATTACAACTACAGTATATGAGATGTAAGAGTGGTCCATAAGAATGGGAACAGGGAAAAGGAGTGACTAATTTAGCCCTGAAGCCTTCCCAGAGGGGGCAATATCTGAGATGGGTCTCCAAAGGTGAGTAGAAGTTCTCCAAGCAGAGAACCTAAAAGGAAATTCAAAACAGAGGGTATAAAGAGGCTATATTTCTCTTCAAGATTAGAGGAGAAATAGAAAAGTTTTACTTTAATGAGGAAAAGGTATTGAGAACAGAAAAAAAGACAAAGAGAAAAAGACATGGCTGCAATAAAACATGGAAATAAAAATGTTTTTTGTCAAAGGATGTTTTGGTTAAATAAAAAATTTCAACCAGGCCAGCTGTAGTGGCTCACGCCTGTAATCATAACACTCTGGGAGGCCAAGACAGAAGAATCGCTTGAGCTCAGGAGTTCAAGACCAACCTGAGAAGAGCAAGACCCTGTCTCCACAAAAAAATAGAAAAATTAGCCAGGAGTTGTGGCATTGTGGTACTGGCCTACAGTCCCAGCTACTCGGGAGGCTGAGGTAGGAAGATTGCTCAAGCACAGGTTGCAGTGAACTATGATAACACCACTGCACTCTACCCCACTCTGTCACCACTGCTCCCGACAAAGTGAGACTCTGTCTAAAACAAAAACAAAAAACCAAAAAAAAAACTCAACCAAGGAAAATAGAGGAAAGCTGTAGGAAACAAACAAATTCATACAAACAGATTTTAATGCAGACTTGGGACAAAGAAATACTAGAGTATGAGAGTAATGCAAAGAAATGCAAACCAGGCCGGGCGTGGTGGCTCAAGCCTGTAATCCTAGCACTCTGGGAGGCCCAGGCTGGCGGATTGCTCGAGGTCAGGAGTTTGAAACCACCCTGAGCAAGAGCAAGACCCCGTCTCTACTATAAATAGAAAGAAATTAATTGGACAACTAATATATATATATAAAATTAGCCGGGCGTGGTGGTGCATGCCTGTAGTCCCAGCTACTCGGGAGCCTGAGGCAGAAGGATTGCTTGAGCCCAGGAGTTTGAGGTTGCTGTGAGCTAGGCTGATGCCACGGCACTCACTCTAGCCTGTGCAACAAAGCGAGACTCTGTCTCAAAAATAAAAAAAGAAATGCAAACCAGGTCAAGAAGAGGAGAAAACAAGGATTAAAAAATGGTAACATTAACTCAGGTATGATACTGAAAATATAGTTTATATGTGACTCATAAAACAGAGAATACAACAATTAGAAGGGAAGGCCCCGTGGTGCTCATTCTGAGCAGGGCCGGATGCAGAGAGCTTCCTGAGTTCAGGGGTAATAAACCAGGATGGATGACTGAGGAGGCTTATGGGGTCTCCAAGCTCAAAGAACTTAAATCTCAATGTTCTCTGTCTGCTAGGAAA